TCAGGCCCTCTGAATAGGTGAGACAGTTGATTGGCTTGATCTGTTTGGGAGGCATCTAGGCAGTGGTACCAGGTCCTGGGCTCATTGCCTGAGTTAGCTGCTTGAAACCTGGGACTGCCATCTTATCTAAGGGCAACATTGTGGTATAGGCCAACCAAGGAGATAACAGGTCTCCAAAGATAATTTTAAACCGGGATAGAAATTTTGTAAGATAATTCCTATCCTGTCTTAAAAAACAAGGTTTATAAATGATACGATTAAAAACAATGCTTGTTAATGAGGTATTAAAGCTGCACCCACATACAAGCATTCACATACAAGAAAGTACCTTGCTGGTAGCCTAACTTTGTAACCTAAGAATCTCCCAAATGGTATTGGTTTTAGAGACATTGAATTGTTGCACTGTTGGAGCTCAGTTTTGCCTTGTACAGATTATCATTGCACCCTCTATCTTCACTCTTGAAATTAAAAAAGTACTTTATTTTGATATTGCAAGAGTGTACAGCTGAGAGATTTTAAACTTCTTTAAAAGGAGATATTAGAGTTTTACAGAAAGTTTAAATTAAAAACCTGAATATTTTAAAGGAACTGCTTTTAAGAATTTAAAAGGCTATGGGACATTTTATACTTATAAAATATTTTATTATAATGTCTTTATTAATATATGATCTTGACAAATAGATAAACAAAAGGCTAAAAACTAGGGCTGTGGTAATTTTTTATTTGTGCTCTAACAAATAAAGCTTACCTGAAAATCAGAAGGAGGAGCTAGCCACTAGTTAACCATAGAGGTCTGGAGGTCTGTACAGACAGACAGGAAGTGATAGAGCTGAGTGTAGAGAGGAAGTGATAAGATGGGGTGGAGAGAGGAGCTCACTCACTTTCGGTGGATGATTTAGGAGGGTAAGAACTAGTGGTTTGCTGCTCTGTCTCTCTTATCTTTCATCTTTTACCCCAACATCTGGCTTTGAGGTTTTTTTTTACTAATAAGACCATTTAGCAATTCATGTTACAGCTATGAGCATCAAACATTAAACACCAGAGACTGAGGTGTTCCTATTTTATGATGCAACAAAGCAGTGACCTAAACAGTCTACCAAAAGGTCTCTCCTTACCTAAGGTTTATTCAAGATAACAGAAACAAATTTATGAATGTATGTCTAACCTCTTTCTTTTTTCTAACATTTTTAAGCTGTACCTATTTTGGAAAACTGAGTCATATAAAAAACAGTTGTGTTCTGTAATGGTGTACTATTAAAAAGATAAAAAGGTTCCCAGTCTCTTTATGGATTATGTTTATGAGTTAAAAGTCTTATCTTGATACTGAAAGACTTTCAATTCAAAAGTTATTTTTATTATAAGCTGTTAAAAATGATTAAGCTTTAATATGTTCAGAACTATGCTTATCGTCATGATTAATTTCAGGAAAAAAGCTTTATTTAGCCTCCTTATATGCTTCAAGATATAACCTAAATCAAATAATTAAAAATAAGTAAGGGTTGTTTAACTCAGATATCCTTAACAGATATCTCAAACATGTCAAAGATCTGCTGAATATGGCATGTAAGATGTTTAAACTTACTATGACTGATGGAAACTCCCAGATCTTAGAAGGGACCCCAAGGTCTCCAAGAAGATGATGGACACAGTGATAATGACATCACCTAGATTGTGGTAATGCTAACCACTGGGAAAGGCTGCCCCAATGCTTCACCAAGACCTGATCCAAACTGTGGACAAGCAGGACACTGGAGACTTGATTTCCCCCACTTTACCTAGGCAAAGTAATGCCAGACCCCCAAGTTCACTAGCAGCTAAAGACTGATTCTTTCCTGGTACCTCTGCCCCCAATGCCATGGAGACCACAAGCTCATGGGATAACTGTCTAATGGTAACGGGTTATGGACTGGTCTGTGGTTGTAACTGATGCATAGGCCTTTTGGATTATACTTCCTGCTACAATTTATCCTTCTCAGATCTTTGATGATGTTGATAGCTAGGCTAAATGTAGCTTTGTCAGGTAGGCAGCAGCAGATAATCAGTTCCTTCCCTCAAAGGCTGCAGCCACCTTGTTAGTTCATTAGTCAGTTCATTAGTTAGTTAGAGCTACTAGGTCTCTTGTTAAGAAAAGGCAGACAGGTTTGCCCTGCTAACAGGCTTCATATGAAAGGATGAACAGATTTCAATTGTAACTTTCCATTAAAGAGTCATGCTTTGCAATGACTGTTTTCAGCAATAACTACTCATGTCGTGTGTCTGGTAAATAGGTTAAAAAAAAAGAATCAAAGTCCTTGCAAGGTCTGAGGATGTAAAAGCTTAAATAAGTTCTGAGGGTCTTCAAGACATGATTCAAAATATATACATTCAAGTTGTAAAGGTATGTAAAAATAATTTAAGGTAAGTAAATAATGAAAGACATTTTAGATTTTTCTTTCCCGCTCTATGCTATTGTTATACTGAGATTTCAAAGGCTCAGAGTTTTAACATTGACCAATAGTTCTGATAAACTGCTAGAGCACTAACTACTTACCATTCAGTCACAAGCTCAATAATTTAAATTTCCTTTGGTTGTCTTCCAAATATAGACTTAAAAGTGCTTTTCATTGAGCTAAAAACATCATTGGCTCTCCAGACAGGTGAAAAAGTATTCGTGCCTTTTAGCACAAAATTATAGTTTTCACTAGGATTCAAAGGCATGACTCTACTCCCCCTATTTTTCAATGGCAATGCTAATATATCTAGAATTTTTATCTCTTTTCGTAAACTTAAAATTCATATAAGTTTCAGGGAGTCAAAAAAAAAAAAAAAAAAAAAAAAAGAAGCCATAAGACCTGGTTCTACCTGTCATAGGCCAAATGGACTCCAGATAAGTATAGCTTATCTGGATAAGTTTCCTCACCTGCCTATTTCTGAGGATGGGGACTCTCTGTCTCTCTCCCCTGGTCTTGGAATTCTTCCCATCTCCTAATTACCAGGACCATGGGCTTAAAAGTTCCAAATGTAAGTAAGGTTTTCTTTTAAGTTCCTAAATTTTAACTTCTGTCCGTAGACTTTATTTGTCTCAGCATATTTCCACTTGGCTGACAGACATCATCCAGGGATCACCTGAAGACTACAAATTGCTGAGCTCTGAACATCCTGAAAGCTGATGTAATCCTGTAATGTCTTTATTTGTACCACCAGTTTCCAAATAATGACCCAGAGACTTATTAATTATGAAAGCTTGGCCTTAGCTTAGGCTTGTTTCCTATTAGCTCTTAATAACTTAAATTAACCCATTTATATTAATCTACATTCCACCATGTGGCTTGTTATCTCTCTTCCATACTCATGTTCTGCTTCATCTATGTCTCAATGGCAAATTTCATACATTTAGAGGATGGGAACAGGAGGGACTGAGATGGTCAAGTGGATGAATGGAGAGAAAGAGCGATGAAAGAGATACCTTGGTAGAGGAAACCATTAGGGGGTTAGGGAAAAACCTGATGCTAGGAAAATCCCCAGAAATCCACACGGATGACACCTAAGATATGATTGCTAAGACTCCTAGCAATAATGAAGAGGGTACCTAAACTTACCTTCTCCTATAATCAGATTAGTGACTACCCTAATTGCCATCATAGAACCTACATTCAATAACTGATGGAAGCAGATGCAGTTATCTACAACCAAGCACTTGGCTGGGCTCCTAGACTTCAGTTGAAGAGAGAGAGGAGGGACCACAGGAGCAAGTGAGGTCAAGATCATGATGGGGAAAACCACAGAGACAGCTGACCCAAGCTGGTGGGAGCTCATGGACTCTGGCCTGTCAGCTGGGGAACATGCATGGGACTGAACTAGGCCCTCTGAATGTGGGTGACAGTTATGTGGCTAGATCTGTTTGGGGAGCCCCTGGCAATGGAACCAGGACTTATCCCATAAGCATGAAATGGCTTTTTGAAACACATTTCCCAGAGTGAGATACCTTGGTCAGCCTTGACACAGTGGGGAGGGGCTTGGTCCTGCCTCAACTTGGTATACCAGACTTCATTGACTCCCCAAGGGAGGCCTTACCCTCTCTGAGGAGTGGATGGGGGAGATGGGATTGGAGGAGGTTGGGGGTTAGGAGAAGGGGAGGAAGGGGGAGCTGGGATTGGAATGTAAAATGAAAAAAAAAATTAAATAAATTAATTTTAAAAAACCATGAAGCTTCAAAATTGGCAGTTGCTCAACTTATAACACACTTGTTACCAAGCCATTGAGTCACTCATTTGTGTAACATTAGTAGCAGCATTTAAAATTATTTCTTAGTTTGGAGTTCTGTAAATGTTTATACCCAGGGAGATGCATTGTATCAAGACTTCATGATGAATGAGGGCTGTGGGGGTCTTATGGCTATCTGGAAGGAAGGTAATGGGAACAGGGTTACCTTGATGAAAGCCAACTCAGACATGTAAGTTGGAAAGGGTACATACGCATGCATACATACTGAGAAGTTAGAAATTGTTTCCAATTTCCCTTCCACCCACACCTTGCAAATTCTCCCTGTACATGGCTTGGAATTCACTGTTGCAGTTGGTAAGTTTCATAAAAACATGGTATTTTGCTTCACTATATTTCATGCCAACAACACATTCAATATTTTTTTGGTAAATCATAAGGAAGTAGGAGAACAAGAGAGGGTTGGTCCATTTTCCTGTTCTTCCCATATCTTTCTTCACCACTCATCTTACATGCTGTATTGAGGTGCAATCACTGAAACACTGAAAATATTTTCTGGTAACAGGCACCCAAGCTAGAAATAATAACATTAAACGTAAACACGCACAAGAACAGATCTGTCTTTATTACTCAGGAAGAATTATTGGGTAATATGCATTAAGGAGACAGCGAGTCAGGTTTCTTGAATGAGCCCATGGTTTCATTATGGTCATCATTGAAAACTTGGGTTCTCAGCCTCCTCATCCTCAAGCTGGTCGGCAACAGCGGCCGATGGTCCAGTCCATGGCTGAGCATTGGCAGTGGCAAGTATTTCCATTCTGGATCTCCCAAGATTCACAGCCAGAGCCGCAAGAACAGCCAGTAACAGTCATCCCTGCATGGTCATGTGAGACACAGACATCAGAGTCTTTGTACTGTAAAGAGACGGTGAGTCCCCAACTGTTCTCCTTAGGAAGCTCATGGGTAAATCTAGGCTTAGGTGAAACTAATTCAATTTTGGGAATTATCTTCAAGAAAAAAGTCACTTAGACTTCTTAAACAAAAATCATTTAAACAAAAGGATTTGGAGTTTCAATGTCATTCAGTTGATGACAAATTGACCTCTGTGTTGGCTTCTCTGCCCAGCAATACAAGGGAATAGATGGGGAAAGAAATGAGGACCATATCCATGACCAGACACAAAAAAAGTGATGACACAAATGGCTGGCATCTGCGAGTACAACAGAAAGAAATGAATGGAAGAATAGAAACCCGAGTTCTCTCAGTAGCATCTCTGAAGGATCTGAAAAACAGTAAGGGATGACTGGGTACCCGGGACTATGGCTTATCTCCATGGTAGTATACATTTGATCTAGGAAAATAATTCATTATTAGAAGATTGATGGGGAAGAACACAGGACATCTTGCTCACAAATTCTTCTTGTGGAGTTACTCACCAGGAGGACAGGAGGACCATCTGCCTGGATTTTTGACACGAGTGCAGAAGAGCTTCGAAGGCCCTGTCAAGAGAGGTTACTCCGAGTCATAAAGAATAAGGAGTATTGCCCATGTTCTCTCTTTCTTACACCCTCCTTCAAAGTCCTCTTCTGTCTTAGAGTTGCTTCCCCCCTCCCCCCGCCATAATCAGGCTACTCAGTATCATTTAAGGTTTAATTTCCTTTTTAAAACCTTCTCATGTGCATGGGTGTTTTGCCTACATGTATGTCTGTGCATCAAATGCATGCCTCAGTCAGATCTTCTGGGATAGGAGTTACAAATGCTTGTGATCCACCATGTGGGTGCTAGGAATCAACCTAGGTCCTCTGGAAGAGCAGCCAGTGCTCTTAACTGTCTAGTCATCTCTGCAGACCTCAAATTTAATTTCTTAGTTTATGAAGCAAAAGTGATAGTTATTCTTAGCTCATAAGCTGGCTGTAAAAATTAAATGAACTAACCAAAGCCTTTGAATTATACTTGATTCAGAATGTGTTCACACATTATGGCTCCCACCCTCCTTATTCCTCATCATTGTTTGGACCAAGAGCTCAAAAAGGAGTAGAATCATAAAGGAATCCCTGAACAGGAAAGAAGGTCTGCAGTGGACTAATGAGAGGCTGGGGTCTTGGAAGGGGATGGAGATGAAGCAAAGGGCTGGGCAGCATAAGCAAGGACTAAGCTCGGATTTTTCCTTACCCCAATGGGGGTCTACACCGTGGAAATCGTCCTGGTTATTTTTATGCACTGAAGAGTCTACAGAGGACTGAGTGTTCACTGTGATCATCAGATGGAGGAGGGAGATGAAGATAAGAAGAAAACACATTGTAGGCTTCATGCTTGTAGAAGGTTAGCCTCCTAGAGCTGGAAGAGAAAGGGAAAGAAAGTGAATCTCTGAGCTCTGGTGTGGTCATGAAGGAAGGGAGAAGACAATGTTGAATGTCAAGGGAGTAAATGGGGAGGAAGATGAGCATCCATAGTGCAGTTCTTCTAGGTTTGTGGAGTAGCAGAGGGGGAGGGAGTACCAAAGAGCAGATTCACCCACCAGGAAACCCAGGAAACATGTTGACTGGGAAGAAGTCCTTCCTCCTGTGGGATTATAGACCCAGACATCTTTAATATATTTAAGTGCGCACACAAAAGACTTTCAGTGTCTTGTTAGTGGGGTGTGACACATGACCACAATAAACTTTAGTGTGTCTTTGAGAAGCAACAGCTGCCTTCGCTATGGTTCCCTGCCAAGTCATTCTGCCTGCTTCTTCACTCCCCTCCTTTCTTGGTCACCTGATAAGGACAACACCTGCACCTCCAGTTGCCTGTCCCATGTTAGAGCCCTCTTGCTTGATCCTTCACCAGGAAGTAGGTGCTTTGTGGTCTTCTGAGCAAAGGTGTTAATTAACACCTGTTAAGACACCATTTTCTTGTTGCAGGCTAATCCCCTCTTTGTAAAAATAATAGAAAATCTGATGATTCCTCATATAGAAATAAGGAAGGAAAAGCATGGTGTATTTGCTTTTCTAGAGCACTTTCAGAGTCGCAACAAAGTTATCACTAGACTGATCTTTTCATATTTTTTTCCACAATTCTCAATTTATCTTTTGATGGTGCCTTCTCCTAGTCACAAGTGGCAAGCAGTACATTCTGAGTCAGGACTGAGCAAACAGGAAACATGGAGGCAACCCCATGGAGGCTTTGTCTTATCTTCTCATTTTGGAAACTTCTCATCTCTATTGCTAAGTTCTGGGTCATATTACTTCCCCTTTATACTACCTATGTCTGGTATGATGCTTAACAGTCTCAGCCTGGTGGGATTTAGAACCACCATAGAAGCAAACCTTTGTACCTGTGTGTGAGGATGTGACTACATTAGGTTAGTTGGCGGGAAAGGATATACCCTATGTGTGGACGGCCCCATTCTGTGAGCTCAGATCTCAGAGTGAATACAAAGGAGAAAGGGAACTAGCACTTGCCTCCTCCCGCTCCCTGCATATACAACGTGACCTGCTGCTTCACACTCTCATCACCAAGTGTTAGTCACCGTGATAGAGCACACTTTTGATAAGCCAAGATATACCTTTCCTTCCTTAAGTTGCTTATGAGAAAAATGACTAACAGAGAAAGAACACTGGGTCCTGAAGTGGGTTTGTAGCTGAATAAACTTGACCATGTGGTTTGTAAGCCTTTGGAACTCGTTTGCAGAAGGATTGTGGAAGAGATCGGAATTGGAGGCTAGAAAAACTCCATACTGCCATATGCAGACCAATATTGGGCTTTAATGGAGGGGGCTTAGAAGACAAGCATTTCAGGAGGAACACAAACATTGATAGCTTCTCTCATGTTACAGAGGGGAGAAAGAACTGGACTAGGGGCAATTAGTGCTGGACTTCAGGAAAGAACATGGCTGCATTTGCCTATGCCCTGAGAACTTTATTAAGGCTGAATTGAAAAGTAATGAACTAATTTGTTCAGCAGTGGAAATGTCAAATTGGGATTCCATTCTGACTGTGGCATGGCTACTGCTTACTGTCCCCCAGCTCTGCCATGAAGAGCGAAACACACAGCCAAAAGATACTAAAGATGTACAGAGTGTGAGCAACTTTAAAATTACAGACAAGGCCCGGACAGGTAGAGGACACCCACGTGCTAACCTGGCGCCGCTTGACCTGGATGAGCAGAAGACAACCATGGGCTGGCCTGGCACCACTAGGCCCATGCAGTCGGGTGCCATTATGGTGAGGGAATATATGCTGAGGAAATGAGAAAGGGAGAGGCAGAATGGCTCATGTGCGGTGGAGAGAGGTGGATCTGAAGAGGTAAAGGCGGGGAGGGGCGACAGGCTATTGTGGGTAGCCTGCTTGCTACCTGGGGCCATGGTGATATCTGGGCCCAGGCTGCTGCCAAGGGCCATGTCTGGGTCCGTGGTCCTGCTGCAGCCATGGTCTGGGTCAATGTCTGTGGCTCCTGTTACCATGGAAGGTCGTGTGGTATGGGGGATCTGGACCACTACCTGGGGCAGTGTTGGTGTCTGAGGACTATGCCACAGCAGGGACCATGCTGATCTAAGTGGCTTGCACTGCTAGCCTGGGCCATGGAGACATCCAGGCCTGAGCTGCTACTGAGGGCCATGTCTGAGTCAATGGTCCTACTGCAGCCAGTGTCTGTGTCGATGTCAATGGCTCCTGTTAGCACCAAAGGCTGTGCAGATGCCCAGAGTCTGGGCTGACACCTAAATTTGTGTTAATGTCTGGGGGTCATGATGCCACCATGGCCATATAGATCTTAGTGGCCTTTGTGTCTACCTGGGACTGTGGTGATATCTGGGCCCAAGCTACAGCCAAGGGCCATGTCTAGGTCTGTGGCCCTGCCACAGCTGCAAACTTGTTGATGTTCAAGGTCATTATTACCACCAAAGGCTGTACAGATATCTGGGATCTGGGCCACCGCTGGGGGACATGCTGGTGTCTGTGGGCCACCCTACAGTCAGCGCCATGCCAATCTGAGTGGCCTGCACTGCCACCCAGGGCCATAGTGACATATGAGCCCAGGCCACTGCTGAGGGCCATGTCTGGGGCCATAGCCTATCACAGCTAGGATCTGTATTGATGTCCACGGCCTATGTTGCCACCAAAAGCCACACAGATGCCCAGGGTCTGGGCCACCACCTGTGGCCATGTTGGTGCCCAAGCACCATGCTGCTGTTGGGGCCATACAAAAATCTGAGTGGCCTGGGATGCCACTCAGGGCTATGGTGTCATCTGGGCCATGTCTGATTCTGTGGTCCTACCACAGACAAGGTCTAAGTCAATGTCTGTGGCTTCTATTACCACTGAAGGTCATGTAGATGCCTGGGGTCTGGGCTGCCATTTGGGGCCATGTTGGTGTCCAGGACCATGCTGCCACCAGGTCCATGCTGATCTGAGAGGCCTGCACTACTACCCAGGTCCATGGTGACATCTGGGTCCAATCTTGCTACTGAGGGACATGTCTGGGTCCATTGTCCCACTGTAGCTGAGGTCTGTGTCTGTTGCCCATGTTACCACAGAAGCCCATGTAAACTATGTATGTTGAGCTTGTTTAATAAACAAGCTGACTGGCCAATAGCTGAACAGGATAAAATTAGGTAGAAAAGTCAAACTGAGAATTATGGGATAAGGAAGGATGGAGTCAGGAGTCACCAGCCAGATGAAGAACAAATTAGACGCACAAAATGGGATAGAAGTAAAAGCCATGAGCCTCGGGGCAGCATATGATTAATAGAATGGATTAAGTTGTAAGAACTAGTTACTAACAAGCCTGAGCATTTGTAATTAATATAGGCCTCAGTGTATTTATTTGAGAGTGGTTGCATGGCAGGAAAACTCTACCTACAGGTACATCTACAACACAATTCCTTCACATAAGGATGGGGGAACATCTCAGAAGAGGAGCAGAAGACCGTGAGGACCAAAGAACCAGGAAGTCTGCTGTGAGATTGTGTCTCCTAGAAATGACAGGAAAGCTCTACACTCATGATACCTGAACAACATGCATGTCAAAATAACACCCAAGTATCAGTAAACATGCTAATGTGAGTGGGGGAAACTCATGGGGTGTCACCCCTAGACAAATAACTACAGATAGCTAATGACTACTGAGAGAGGGAGAACGTTGAAATCTCCTTGAGGACTATGTAAAAATCCATTCTGTAGATGAATTTCTAAATGATCTTATTAAATAAAAAACATGGAGCCAAATATAGGAGTAAAAGTCTTAGATCAGGGAAATAGGGAAAGCTACCAGCCAACCTTACCTCACCAACTTTGCAGCTTCCAAATGCAAGTTACTTCCTGTCTACCCACACCTTTATTGCCTTGCTGTTCTGCCCTCTCATTGGCTATCTTAGCCCAGCTACCTCACTTCCTCTTCCTACACAGCTCTGTTACTTTCTGTCTGTCTGTACAGACCTCCAGGCCTCTATGGTTAGTACTGGAATTAAAGGTGTATGTCACCATGCTTGGCCCTGTTCCCTAGTGTGGCCTTGAACATATAGAGATCTTGCCTGCTAAGGGAATAAGGGTGTGTGCTGCCTGACTTCTTGTTTACTTAAGATGGCTGGCCTTTCCCCCCTGATCTCCAGGTAAGCTTTATTTATTAACATACAAATAAAATATCACCACATTTCAGCACAAATAAAATATCATCACACCATTTAACATTACGGAGCTCTACACAATGGAGCAGGAGAAACTTGGGTTCATAAAACTTGTTGATTCTTCTAATTTATTGTGAAGCCATAAAAGTTCCTTATCCACCAGGGTTCAGTTATGTGCCCCTGGCTTTTCTTTCTACCTGTCATTCTGTCTTTTTGCCTCAGCAAATAGGGGAGAAAATGGAGGGGTGGGTAATGGAGGACTCTAGGATTCTGATCCAGGAAGGAAATGGTCCATGTGGAGAGGAAAGTTTTGCAAATTGGTCATGGCCAAGCAGAAGTAATATCATTTCTGTCATATTCTTAGGGTAGATACTCAGCCATTGAACTTTCTAATGAATTCTTTTTGAAGGAGCTTCTACGATGTTTGGGAGAGGAATGGATACCACTGAGGAAAATTTATGAGCCATGTGTCCTTTAATTCTTTAACATTGTAAGAGGAAAAATAAATTAATCAAAAATAAGACACCACACACACACACACACACACACACACACACACACACACACACACACACAATTTAATCTATTAGATGTCCGTAGTTAAATACTGAAACCTGTAAGGCATATAACTGAGTTTGGAATTCTTTTTTATATTGGCCATAAAACCAGAGCAAACATAATTTGAGAGGTTCTGGATGAGGATACTTTATTAAATATATGTTATACATTACAG